TTCCCCAGCCAGCATGCTGGCTGGGGAATTCTGGGAGTTGAAGTCCACCCATCTTCAAGCGGCCAAGGTTGGGAAACACTGCCTTAGAGCCTTCTAAGATCAGCTCCAGTGAGAGAGGGGTGATCCCAGCCCCCTCCCCAATTCCAGCCTGGGAAGGAAACACTTTGCGCTCTTATCAACCCAGGCAGGCAGATGGGGGGCGGGGGGGTATGCCTTGCCATCAGCATGCTTTACAAGTTCTCAGCACCTGGAGATGAAAAGGAGATTTGCTTTGGACATGGAAAGTCCACCTCCATCATCAAAAGCTCTTCTTTTTATATAAAAAAAGGGCTCAGTTTTTTCAAGGGCATCCAAGAAAGAACCTATCCCTTCGTTTTAGGCCACCTGCACGCTCCATAGCCCACACCCCCGGGGAGAAGGGTGCTCCCCCTCCAGGTAATCCATCGTTGACCAGCCCTGTGAAATAAGCCCGTCCGGTAACCAAATCTGGAGTCATCTGGAAGGTTAATCTCTTGGATCTTCCAACGGTTCAGACGCCGCTGCAGCAGCAACAACAGCAGATAACGCAACGCAAACGGTGCAGCATCGCAGAGTTCTCGCAAGCCTGTTTCCTGAAGTGCCTTCACCCTAGGAAAGTCTCACTTTTTCACATTCCTACCTGGAGAACTAGCCAGGGGCTTTACACCCCCCACCCCTCTTCGCGGGTTCTTTACCCAAACATTTCATTTCATTCATTCATTCATTTATTTTGCCTCCTCCCGAGGAGGGAAATGCTCTCGGAAAACATTTCCTCCAGCAAGGTCATTCACCTCCCCAGAAGTCAGGCAGAAGCAGTCTTTTTGCCACAATCACGAGATAAATAGATAAATATCAACACGGCCCAAAAACTGCTGAAGATCGAAAGCACGTTCTGAAGGGGGAGGGAGGGAACGGGGGGGGGGGGAGAATTCCCAACCGTGCTGGCAAAGACATTCCTCGGAAGAAAAGGAGACATTCTCCCACCATCCAGCAGCCTCCCCACCGCTGTGTGCTTGCTGACTCAAAGCTACGCCCCAAAAATAATCTTTATTTATTTGTTTGCTTGCATGGATGCCACTTTGCAAGGAAGGGGGGGCTTGCCTCCCTGCCGGTCAAAAGCAAGAGCGTCCAGGATCAGACGTCCAATTTGGTCTGTTTCAAAGCATTCCAGACAACGTGCTTTTCCACAGGTCATCTCGCTACCTCTGCATCCCATCATCTCAGTCTGATGCAGGCACAGATCCTGCCTGAGAAAGCAGAGCCGGGTTTTTCCAACCTTGGCGACTCTAAGATGCATGGGCTTCCATTCCCAGAATTCCCCAGCCAACCAACGGGGGGGGTGCTCCACGAAGAGCCCGGGGCCTTTATTTTCAAGCCTCTTCGGAACAAGAACAGCAAAGCAACCAGAGATGCAACGCCCCTCCCCGGGTGGAGAACGGGGGATGCATCAATATTCAGAATTATGTTATCTGGTATTAGCACAGCCTTGATTCACTTCCAGAGATCTACTTCTCCTCTCCAGCTTTTAGAAATCAGAGCTTTATCGCTCTTTCTCTTCCAAACCACAAAGGGCCTTCTGGCACCTGAAAGTCACCTGGGGCTCTGCTGTTTTTCTGTAGAACCAAAGACAGCACAGGACCGCCCCCCCCCCCAGCCTGTTCCAGAGTTTCTCCCATTTTCAATGGGGCCATCTCTATTTTGCTTTAACACGCCGTGTCTGCTCTGGGGGTCACCCGGACGAGCTACCATCCAAAAAGGCATGCAGGCGGTGGCCAGACGCCGATCGGGATCCGTGCCGGGCAGGGCTGCAAGCTCGGACCGCGGAGGGAGGCCCGGGGTCATTGCAAAGCTCACAACGAGCAGAGGAGGCGTTCAGGAGCCCGGCCGTGGCTTCCTTCCCCCTTCCCCTGTCTTGTTCCCAAAGCTAAGGGTGCTTGTCCTTGCTGGGCATCACATTACCGGTTTCCGAACCAGAGACACAAAAAGCTGTTTTCCATATGCCATTACCTCATGACCCACGCACTTAATTCCTGCTGGAAAACGACGACACACCTCTGTCTACGAGACACAAACCGTCTGTCGCGCCAGCACAGTATCGACTGAGCAAGCGGGGCAAACAACAGCCCTCCGCCATCTCCGGGCCAGGATTTGCAGGGCGCCCCTGGGGCATTTCGAGGCTCAGGGCCCCTCTGGGTTGCTTTGATCCCCGCTTCATCTGCTGGGTTGCTCAAAAGAAACGCACCGGCCAGATGTTTTTCCTTGCCAAGTGAGGCGACTTGCACGCCGTCTCAGACCTTCTCCAGATGTGCTACGTTGCCGTCCCCGTCCACCCAGCCGCAGCGCTGTGAGCAAAGGGCAACCCTCCCGTGGCATTCAACAGGAAGCAGACCAGAAGCAGGGCTCTTGCTCAGTGAACCCCACCGGGCCCCCCAAACAGAGCAGAAGGGAAGAACGCCACAGAAGGAAAAAAACCCACAGGGACCCCCTTTTTTTCATCCAATGCTCCTCTCCTCCATCTTGCTATCAAGCAGACCGGCAGGAAACCTGAGACTGTAGAGTCGAGGGCGGAGGAGACAGGAGAAAAGTTGAGTGCGAGGAGGAGAGGGAGGCTGACCAGCCGAGGCGCCACGTTCCTCCTCCCGCGCTGCAGCAGAACCGGGCCAGGCTCGGACCCGGCCGACGTGATCCCCCTTACCTCGGCCGGTCGGACCCCAGAGGGAGCAGGCTCTTCTTCGGCCCAGCCCAGGCACAAGATGGGACCTTCTCCCACGCCCAGAAAGTTAAATCTGGAAGCCCAGCATTCTTTACAGCTGTAATTCTAGGCAAGCAAGTCAAAACATTTCCTGCCAGCAAATGAGGGTGTGTGGAGAGAAGGCTGCTGCTGACGGCCCTCTTGGTCTGGAACCGTGCATTACACAGCAGAACTTGAATACTTGCACGCACACACACACACCACCCACCGCCCTCTCCTCGCCTGCCGCAGACAAATCATAGATCTCGTCTGCCGGAGCAGCGTCAGCTTCCCCGAAAGCCAGCGCTGCTGAATGCATCAGATATCTATAACTGCAAGAAGAGGGCAATTGGGGCTGCTGGGGAACTGCAGGCGCCCCCCCATGCCATTGGTGCTTCTCTTCCACCCCTCCGCATTCCTTTTTCTGCCCCCAACGGGGGAAGGGCTCTCGGCCCTGCCAACCCCACGGCGCATGGATGGAGGCACCCAAGGCTTCACGCGGCTGAAGACGCTCCGAGAGCCAAAACAGTTTCCAGAGAAGTGAGTCAGCTTCGCACGGCTCTTCCTAGCCCTGACCTAGAAATCTAACTGCTACTTTCTCAAAAAGTGGACTTGCGCCAAGGTGCCTCGGGAGGAAGAGAGATGTGTGTGAAAGACCGGGGCTGGGCGCCAAGCGTTTCAGAGATTACGGCCCAGAAGAATTTCTGCCCCCCCTTCTGCTCCAAGCCCTCCTTCCCACCCCCAAAAGCCACTCAGGGGGAGGGCTGGGGGCTCAGAGCCCCCACCGAGCTCCCGTCAAGGTGCCAGGACTCAACTGAAAGCCCTGAAGGGGCAGACTGGGCAAGTCACCCCCCCCCCCCCCTTCCTTCCTTCCCCCCCCACCCCCGCACCCCGGCGTGGGGCCGGCTCAAGGGCACGCGTTTGGTGGTGCGCGGGGCC